GTTATGTCATTATTTTGTTTCCTACACATGAAGCCGTGAAGGTAAAGAGAAACACATGGTTCCAATACTGGGAGAGAACATACAGGTCAAGTACTACAGACTGGGGTATACGTTTGAGCAGAGGTGGGCAGTAGTCAAAGTTAGTAATTCCCCTTCTCAGAGAGGTCCAGGCCACAGGGCCTGCGACAACCAGCCATTCCCAGCCTGAAGGAAGGGCAAGGCACAACCAAAACATGCTTTCCACATGTTAACTTTCTGCAAAATTGCAGAATTTAAGTGTGAGATGCTCCTTATCCTCCCAGTGTGATGAAATGGCAGTCACTCTCCTGCACGGGGGAAGATATTTGGCACAAAACTGTGTTTAAAAGTACTTGGTAGACAGTGACAGCTTTTAGGGTTCCTTATGTCTCATTGGGCATCACGTAAGTATGAGTTTAGGCATACATTCATTTTGGCAAATTTCTTTTAAAATAATGACCTCTTTTACTATAGTGAGTTCCTAATTTTTTTTAAACTGAAATTTGTATAGAAAAAGACAAATGAGGACCCTGATTAGTCATTTGCTAAATTTTGCATTTTAACATAGAGAATATGTTATTTGCTCCTTATATTTTTACCAAGTCAGGTTGATTTTCTGGTTACCTAATGAGGCAGCCAAATACAAAGTGCCATCGAAACTTCACTGGGACTAATCTGGAACCATTCAGGCTCAGATGGGTTCCTCTGGTGGCAGTTGCCAAACAAGCTTCGGCACAACCATAATGATAGAGATACACTTCGCCATGGACTTCTGAATCAAGAAAAGCAGCAGATCGATAAATGTTTGTAATGACAGAACCTGTAAAACTGATGTGTTTGTATGTGTGTCAAATACTGCAAAGAATCTGTTCTCTCAGGAAATAACGAGATGCGACAATACCACCAGAACTCTCACATCTGAAATAATGAGAAGTTAATGGACAGTTACCATGGCACACCCCCTCAACAATATTTTAATGTTTATGATTCTGAATTAATTTCCCACACTATATTCTTGGGCCAACTTATTAAATTAATAACCAAGCGGTTATCTTCTTTACTACTGAAGAATCTTCTATAACCTATCCTATCATAGAAAGCCTTGTGAGAAATACGTTTAGCTTCATTGGTTAGCATTCCTTTGCCAAAGATTTAGGCTCTAGAAGCATGTTGTTGAAGGATATTAAGTAGAAGATACCTTTAGCGTTCCAGAATGAGCGACAGCAATGCAGGAAATAACTGATGGACCTGATCCAGAAGTCCTCAGTCAAAAAAAAGTCTTTGAGACAAAAGCGCATCCCATTTACTACTGACATATGATTTAAATATGTCATCAGGAATAACATAATGTTTCTGCTTTTTAAAATGTTTCAAGGCATACAGTGGCAACGTGCTTCCTTTCTTTGACATTAAGTTACATCAAGAATGTAGTGTTACAGAATTCAGGACTGCTTTAAAAGAGAGTTTGTTTTGCTAAATAGTCTTTCAATTCTATGTGTGGGTCAGACCTATTTAAAATGGACAGCAATGGAAAGTGCTTTTGTTGGTAGCAGTAGAGGAGAAGCAACAGTATCCCAGAGTACGAAAGGCCCATTTACAGGATAGAATAATGGACTTGGATGTTGCCACACGGTAATGGCCTTTCACTGCTAAGTACGTGCCAAGATCAAGATTAAGTATTAACGTGAGCTGAAGCAATGTATTAGATGGTTTCTGGCGCACGTTTAGCCTGACTAAGAACTAAAGAACCCATTCCTATTAAAGCAGATGTAACTAGCAGAAAATAGCCCGATAATCGTAGACATAATGATTTCTAAGCTGGACCATTATGGAAAGATTTTTGTCCAGTTGGATGACAAACTGAATTTACCCAGCATCTATGTTGTCTGGTCTAGCCAGACTATTTTGGGTTCTTACTCATTCCTCAAGACACAACTTGTGTTGAAATACTGGAAGTTTTACCACTCACTTAAGTGTGAGCCTGCAAGTAATTTAGGTTTCAAGCAGAAGACCATAGCCCAGGCAGTGCCAGCACCATGTCAACGGGGTGCTGGTATCTGATTTAAAAAAAAAAAAAAAAAAAAAAGGCATGTTGTAGCTTATGCACCTTGTATAATATCTGTATAATGACTACATTTAAAGCATGACAGTGCACAGGTTAAAAATATATACAGTCAAAATTAGTTAAACACCTGTCATGAGAGAGAGATGCATTTAAGTGAAAACCCACGATGTCAAATGCTTATGAAGATCTTAATCTGTGAGAATAGTACAAAAAAAAGGCAGAAAATTGGGGATTCATGACACAAGGTAAGTAAAAGTAACAGTTTAGAATATAAAAAAATATTTAATGAAACATTATTTCTCTCTAAAGCTTTTAAATAGTTCATTGAAAAAAGAAGGCATATCCATCATAGCTGTTTCATATTCGTCTCTAAATAGCTAAATCATATGATAGCTTTTCAATTGAAATCGTTAAACTTTTATAGTAATATGGCATTTAAATATACATGTGACCTTTCTGATGTATGGGTAGAGCGTTACAAAAATATATTGCTTACATCTCAAGAATTTATTTCTAGTTGGCAAATTGCACTCTATAATAAAATTAACTTTTAATTTTGCATTCACAAAATACATTTTACACTTTTAGCTGTTTCCAATCAACTAGAACAGCTGTTCATTTTATAAAATTAAATGATTAATATTCTTTTTAATTATATATTTTGAGTACATATGCTGCTCAAGGTCAATTCATTTCTGAATTTTAAATCTTAAATGTCATTGATATAATAGACACATCATATAAACTAATTCATCTTGTAGTTAATTCAAATTAATTAATCTCTACCAAAAAATCAGGCTATGGTTTAAAAACTTGAGATTTGGCATGTTTTCTGTGTTGAAAAGTGACTTTTATACTTGGACAAACTTTTAAGTAGAGAATATTTAAAAAAAAAACACCAATCAACATTGTTCTTCAGATGGTTTTATTTAACACGTTGTTAATCAAATTATTTTTAGTTATGGGCCAAATCATGTAATCCAAATTTGGGGCTTTATGACAATAAAGCTTTCATATTGATTTGAATAAGACTTTCACCCGGGAGAAGGCTGCAGGATTCACCTTTGGGTCCCGACTGACTCGATTCTCACTGCAATAATCCAATAAATTTATAAAGTTGTGTTTCATACCTCCTCAACTACTATTATAGAAAAAGTAGGATAAAGTTTTTAAACTATGTTGGGAGATGTCCTTCCTAAAACCATCACCATGTAAGTCTTCCTTCCATACTAAATTATAGATGTAATTTTTGAAATAAATATTTAATCTTAATTTATTTGCAGATTTTGAGAGATTGCATTAAGTTTTAAAGTAACTACAACTTAACTATTTCAGTTTGTAAATTCTCACCTATATCTAATATTAGTCTTGAATACTGAAGAAATAGGGAATGTAAAATGCTGATGTCTTGAAACTCTTAGACGAAAGATACATTTTACTGTTCAGTGATATTAAAGTATTTTAGCAGACCACTCACAAGTTCATAAATAGGGTAAATTTATATCTCTGTGCAAGTAGTTGCACAATTATCTAGGCACTTTTAAATGAGCCTTGTAACATTTAATAGATCTTGTCAGCTTATTCCCGTACTGAGTGGTGAGAAACAAAAGTATAATGCCTAGCTTATTGTCAGATCTTATGGTTTGCTATAGAATCTTTTTTTCTCTTTTTTAGTTTCTCCAATTATTTCACACTTCTTAGGAGATTCTTGTGAATCCTCTGGTAAAGACGTGGGGTCTGCCGCTCTGGCACATGATGGAGTCAACTGAAAGACCTCTTAGATTTTCCTGCCAAACTTCTTAAAAATACTTACCAAACAGGCTCCCTAAGTCTTCGAGACTGCTGAACTTGAAAGCAAAGCTTTCCTCCAAAGGGATTGCCTAGCAGGTATCTTCAATAACTTTGCATTTAAACAGCATCCAAGCCACCAAGGACCTGGAAGTGTTCAGCAACCAGCAAGGCTCACAATTGCCAGGTAAGTGTTAATGTGCCGCATAGAGAAGAAGGATCCAAGGCCCTGGGCCGA